CACATTTTGCTAAGTGACTAAATTTTTTACCAAGTGTCCCACATTTTTGCAAAATTTCACACCTGTTTACTAAGTGTTTCACCTTTTAAGTGCCCCACTTTTTTAGTAAGACATAAAGAGAAAGGGATAAAAGTGCAGAGAACAACTTTGAAAAGTAACTGAAAGCATTCACTTTCAATGAAGTACTTAATTACAGTCAGACCACACACCATCCATTTTCCCATCAGGTATAAGATGTACAATAATACGTTTAATATATAAAATCTCTGTCATATATGGAAATAAAAATGCCTGCAATTAAATGCAATGTTGGGGAAAAGAAATAAATGTTTTTTGTTTTTTTTAATAGTGTTCTCAGAATAATAAAATCAAATTTATTTCACAACAGGCAGAGGTGTAAAAGTCATAAAGAAAGAGGTGGCCAAACAAGATTAGGTTTAAGGTTTTCAGTTTTCACCATTAAATTGTCTTAAAAGCACTTGATAAAGTATGTCACAAAGAAATATTGGAAATGCTAGGAAATCTTGATATATTTGGAAAGGATATTAGAATAATCTAGAACATAGACAAATCAATTGCATACAGATAGAAAATGAATTTAATAAATATAAAAAAATAGAAAAGGATGCAATCTCACCAGACTTATTCAACATATAGAGTGAGGCGATTTTTCTTTTAATCAGTATCACCCCAAGCAAGACAGTACAGCCACTAAGATGCAAAGGGTTACAGGGTGTGGAAGAATTAGGAACAGAAACAATGAGCAGAAAGAGAAAAGAGTAATCAAGAGGACAATAGATAGCAATTAACATTGCATTTAAATTTTTTCAGATTAAAGTTGGCTGGAAAGCATGGAGCCAGAAGACACTTCCACAAGCAAGAAATGTGAGAAAAGAAATTGTTAGTGTAGAAGTTATGTCTACATCTAGCTAGCTCAACTATAATTTGATGAGATCTCAACGCCAGTGTAGATAAATGCACTTACATTCATAGAGTCTAGGTACCATAGCAAAGATTTCATTTGAACTATTATCATGAAAATATTTATAAAAAAGGCACAGAGAAGCAACCTTATGGCAATGGGCAAGAAGCTGAGCCACCAGATCAGGACCAATAATATTGCTGATTCTTATCAAGGAATGCCAGGTAAATAGCAGGAGCACTGGACCATATATGGCAGAGGAAGAGAATCTTAACAACATAATATATACAGATGACACAGCATTGATAAAAGACAGGGAAAGGAAACTACAAGAACTCTTATAGAAGATAGTGAAGGAAAGTGAGAAGAAAGGACTAAACATCAATTGCAAGAAAATAGAATGCATGGATCTTAGCCCAACATGCAAATTACAAATGGGAGATATCAAAATCAAACAAGTGCAACAATTTAAATATCTGGGAAAGTGCTTTAACAGAGGGCAGAATGTGCAACACCAAAATCTGAAGACCCATTAGGATAGTGAAAGATGCCTCCCAAAATCTAAGCAAAGTATTACGAAACAGGAAAATTTTCTTAGAAAGTGTACTGAACCGTTACGTGATATCAGTCCACCTATATGGTAGTGAATGCTGGACAAGTTCCTCACAGATGAAGCAGAGATTTGAAGGAACAGAAATGCACCCATTTTTCCATTCTTAAAATTTACTGTTTTTAGTTTAAACGCTTTTTCTCATCTTTTGGGTGAACTTTTGTTTGCTTGCCAAACTTTATTTTTGGCATATTAAATTTTTTTTTTGTGTTTCATCAAACTTTATTTTTTCCTTCAGCAAACTTTATTTTCTTTTTTGTCATTAACCAAAGTTTTATTTTAAATCATTTTATTTCTTTGATTCGTTTATTTTCGATTTATTATAAATCAGCAAGTTTATTTTCCTTTTTTTTGTTTTAATTCAAACATTTTTTTTTTATTGCAATATATACTTTTTGTATTGTTAATTTTTCTCATCTTTATTTTTGTGTTGTATATTTAATTTTTAACTTATCTTTGTAGAAGAAATTATTTTTGATTTTAAGTTTCATTTTTGTTGGTGTTTTCTTTCCTTTCCCAATGTCAATCCAGTTTAAAATTATAAATTATTTTGAAGAAAATTTTTCCCACTTGACAATTGAATATTAAAATTAAGCAATATGGTAGTGAAAAAGGACCTTTTCAGGTTTGCTTCTAAGGCAGATGCATGCAATAAAAGAAAAACTAGATAAAGCTCACAGGTAGAGTCATCAAAACAATCTTAAAGTATTAAAGAAGACCAATGTAAAGACAATAGCAACAAAGACAAGTGTGTTCCCAACTCAAGCAAGGTACCACCTAATATGACCACCAGGGAATTGCCCTCATGATGGAAGTCTCCCCAAGTTTTATAATTAACACTGCAGAATTTTTGAAAAGGGCCAAAAGTTATGAACATCTCATAAAAGAAGATGGGCTTTTGGAAAACCCCAAAGAATTACAGAGGTTTGAAAAGAAAATGGTCTCAGTCTTCATGGTGGACAAGTGTATGTGCAAAATTTCTCACTCCACAAAAGACACAGTAATCTGATCACTAAAGTCCCTGATGGTCAAACTCCAAAGAGTCATTAAGGGTATTAAGTTTTTCATGTGGGATGTGGGATATACTGCTGCCCACTCCCAAAGATTTTGTGGAGGTTACCAACCATGAGCTGATAATGAAAGACATCATAATACAAAGTGAATACGAGAGCCAGCATAGGCCCAAGTAGCAGTATTTGAGGTCCTTCTTCATATATTAGGAGAGTGCCTAGCTGTTTACCTCAGCGCTGGCAAAAGTCTTTTTTCAGCAGACTTGAAAAATTTACAAACTGAGTTTGCTGAGATGATGAGGTGGAGACCATGGATCACACCTTCTTTCATTTCAGGATCATAATCCCATTGGGCAAGTTTATTGAAGATATCATGGTTTGCATGCTGCACAGAGTTTTTGATCCTTAAGGTCAGTTCTGTCTGTAACAATGTGGTACCACTGTTGACAAAGGCTGAACACCATGTGTTCTTTTGCTTGCTAGGCATTATGAGAGTTGCGATTTGGAGGACACATCAGAAGGAATTCTATGGGGGTGAGAAGTTCACCTCTTCCCAACTGATCTTGTAATAATCAGCTTAAAATCATGATTAGGATGGAAAGTGGCAGCTCCCTCCATCAGAATCTGGCAACAGGTGGGTGAGTCATGTGCATCTGTGTCAAATAAGAAGTGCTGATTTATAGTGGCACTTTGATGCCAGTTAAGTATAAAGAAATTGTCCTAATCATATTGGACATTGGCAACCCCACTTGATATTAGATTAGTTTAGAGTTGTTTTTTGTCTTGAGTTTCTTTCAAAGTTAACTTACCTAGGGGATGTAAGCTCATTGGCCCCTTTTATTTCTGCCCCAACTTTCTTTAGTTTAATTCCTTCTCTGCTCCTCCATTAGGTGTCAGTTTTCTAGTCATTTTGGGATGCCTTTCATTTTTGGGGGTGTGATTTTCATATTTGTCGTGTTTGAATGAATGTGTGTTTGAGTGAGTAGTTTGATGAATGAATGTTTTATATCATTAAAATCTGGTACTGATTTTGTCCAGTTAACTGACTTTTCTGCCACAATTAAAGATTGGGATGTGGATGGGGGGGTATATTGCTAACTCTTTTTTATTGATTTTCTTATAAATAGCTTATTTCATTTTGTAAATACACATTGGGGTTTAGATTTTTAAATTGTTATTTTATCCCCTCCCACCACAGACAAAAATTGTACATTTGGAAACTAGTTAAAACTTTATGAAGATTCTGTGGTATTATGGTGGATGTAGTAAGAATGCTAATTAAGAATGTGTTGTTTTGGTATAAGGATTACTATGGTATGTTTTGGGTCAGTGATTATGGTTAGCTAAGTTTAATTATAAGATATAGCACCATCCTTTCCCCATTCCCCCCTTTTGAACTTTGTGCCACATTTTTGTATTTTAATGCAAAATAAATATTGATCCTGCCACATGCCTGGACAACCCTTGTCAGGCTGAACCAGTGGTTATGAAACATGGTAGCAGAATGTAGTTAAAAAACCTCACCAACATAGAAGTCTAAAACAACATCTTATGATGATTGGAAGTTTGATGTCAAATTATGGACTCAATTCACCAGGACAGAAAAAAGACAACAGGGCTTTGCAATCTACAACATTATTACCAACTGAAAAAAGTGTCAATGAGGAAGTAGGATTTTGGTCATGCAAAATAAAGAAATCAGGATTAAAGATGAGAATGCTGTTGAGCAGATTTTTATTATATAAATCATTTAAGATGATCTGAGCATTATATGCAGAATATGGTGTTCATATAAAAATCTTTGAAGAAAGATTTAGATACCATGGATCAGTTTCTCAATTCTTATGAAAAGAATATCAAAGAGCTAAAAAGGCAAGAACTTCTAGCAGCTGTCTCCTTTCTTTGTCAATCGATCTTCAAGTTGAAAAGTGGTGTGGATCCATTTTATAGACTGAGTGATTATTCTTTGGATCTCACCAATGTTAGGTTTGGCAAATGAGAAAATGTCATCATATTTGGTTCCGTTGGAGAGACAAATGATATCACAAGACAAAATCAAAATTAGGATAAAAGACAAGACAGAAGAATGAAAACAATTGAATCAAAATTCCTCAAAGTGTCACTTATGACAAACATCTGAAGAAAGACAATATTGCAATGATAACAAAGATAAGGATATTAGTTCAAGTTGATTGATTGATTGATTCATTTTTTATGGCTTACCAACCCTTTGCAGGATATTTAAGGCGATAAAATATATTTAGATTATAAGAATTTTTTAATAATTAGTGATACAAGTCTTACTAATTAACCCATAGATGGGGGAAAGAGGTGGATTCATAACTTCACCAAAGATATTGGCACATAAATGAATATAACAAACCTAACAGGAATTGAAACTCAGCTCATCAATTAACAATTCCAAGCCATTCCTCATTATACAACCTGCACATCCAAGCTTACAATACCTGTTATTCCCAAGTGCTCACCTATCTAGTTGTTGACCAGGCTCAACATTGCTTAACTTTGGTGATCTTACGAGAACTGGTGTTTCAATATGATGTGGCCATAAGCCATTAGTTTAAGTAAATTACTGTATGATCAAAATATCTCTCATTGCATGCATTTACTGTTTGAGTTTGATCTCTATATACACAGTTATGTTTTTCATTAAATAATTTAATCAGTGATCATTTTGACCCATTGAAAATTTTAAGTGACTCTTATTCAATTTTATCATGGCTAATTCATGAGTTGGCTACAAATTGGAGATATCAAAATCAAGCAAGTATAGAAATCTAAACATCTGAGAAGTGATTTAACAGACAAAAGGAAAATGTGGCATCAAAATTTAAAGGTGCATTGGAATACCAAAATATACTTTCTAAAAGCTAAGTAAAGTATTAAGAAATAGGAAAATTTCATTAGAAATAACAAAGGAAAGAATGCTGAACTGCTAAGTCATATCAGTCCTCATGGAAGTGAATGATGAATTTCCTCACAGATGAATGGGAGACTTGAGGCAATAGAAATTTTGTTCTACAGAAGGATGCTGAGAATATCACAGACAGAGCATGTGAGTAACAAAAATGTTTAAAAAAAATGGAAACAAAAAAGATACTTATATTTAGAATCAAAAAGAGAGAGTTAAAATTTTTGGGACTTCTTTTTTATGTACTGTATCCTCTCAGGACATAGGCGATCATAGCTCTCCACAACTTCCTGTCTCTTGTAGTTCTTATTAGTTTTGTCTTTCTGTTATTTCTCCTCAATTCTGTACCCCCATCATGTATTGTTTTCCTCTGTTTCTCTTGTCTTCAATCTGTCCTGTGAGTATCAGATTTTCCAAGTCCTCCTTCCTCATTATATAGAAAACTCAACTGTCTCTTCCTGATGTTAAGGCCTGGAAAATTAGATGTTCACAGGATATATTAATCAAGGGGGGCAACAAGAAATAGCAAATAAGCTGCAAATTGATGGCAAAACAGGTCGTTGGAGTGATAGTAAAAAGACAAAAAAAGCTACCAAAAATAGGAAGTAGTGGAGAGCTATGATCGTCCACATCCTGAAGAGTCACAACACAGAGAAGAAGAAAAAGCTATTAACAAAAGCTTACATTAAATAACAGAGCAACAGCTCAATGAATGTTACCAGAAATAACCCATGAGAACACTGTTGTCATATATTTTAGTTATAACTAGCAGTAGAGCCCGGCGTTGCCCGGGGATGTAACAGTAAGAGATAGATCAAGTATCGACCATCATAAAGACTGAAAAATAAAATTGACAAAGATTATTGTTTAAGGTTGATGGACACGCATGTCTTAATTAGTTTTTTTTTTTTTTACGAATTGATCAAACCCAAACTCAAACAAAAACATTGTTTTCAATCGTTATGAGTCTACCGATTGAATAGAATTTTATTATAAACAATTGTCTTGTAAATGGAATTTTTAAAGCATTCTGAATGTAAAAATAAAGAAAAAAGTGTGCAAGACAATAAGAAACACTACCTGCCAAAAAAAAAGTGAAGTTTTGTTGAAATCGGTTGAAAAATGTAGGAAATCTGATCCCATATATAAATGAACACATACACTCACACACAAACAACCTGGGTTTTATAATAAGTATAACTCGATATGAATTGTCCCCCTTTCATTCCGCGAAAGCGATGCCTCTTAATTGTGTTTTCAAATTGATTTTGTGCAAAAACAATTGTGTTTTTCTAATTTTGGGCGCTGTCAGAACCACCGCAAGGTAATTTTACGTAGTCCTGTGAAGTTTTGTTGAAATCAGTTGAAAAATATAGGAAATCCGATCCAATATATAAACGTACAGACACACACATACACACAACCTGGGTTTTATAATAAGTATGATGTAATTGCCAGAACAGCAATGAAACCTGTAAGATCATTTACTGCTTAAAAGTAGATATATGTATATATGATTTTTTAAGTGTTAGTGTGTGTGTGTGTGTGTGTATGAATAAGGAAAGCTCAGGAAATATTCCCTGGTGAATATTTTGCCCCTGAGAGTGTTGTTGTGACATTGTGTTTTCCTTTGTATTTGAGGTAAAGAGAAAAGAATATGATGTAGAAAAAAATAGATATGTTCAGAATAATTTATCTGACCTCATATTGTGAATGAACCTTTATACGTAATCTTTAGGGATTGTCTAAAACAAGATAAAATACAGAGGCAAGATTAAAACATGTTAAAATATTTTCTGTCTGAATTTTTGAGCCCTCATTATTTACATTCAGTTCTCATATCTTCAGTTTTGTTGCCATTAACTCATTTAATAACAACAAAGATCAGCTTAAACACAATATATTTAAATAATTTTAAATATATTCTGCTGTATTCATTAATCTAATTTTTCTCAGGGTTAATTAGTATATTCCATTTTTTTAATATTTTAACTTTTAATTTAATTTTATATTTTAGTATATTTAATTTTAATATTTTAATACTTTTTCGTAATATGCATATATAATTTTTTTTTAATATTATAATTTTTAACTTAATTTCTTAATATTTTAGCATAATTATTTTTTTAATATTAATATAATTTCTAATATTTAAATATTAATTTAATTTTTTACTATGTTTAATTTTTTAATATTTTAATGTCTTAATTAATATTTTAATATTTTTTTTTAATATTTTTGTACAATTAATTTTTTTACTAATTATTGATATTTTTAATCCTTTCAAGCAAAGTGATAATCGCTAAGACGTAAGTGGTTACCGGGAGTGGAAAAGAAAAAAGAAGACATAAGTAAGAAAAAAGGATAATAAAAGAAGTGAATTCAAGAAAATGGAAGATTTCAATGATTATAGGCGGTAGAGAAGCAAGAAATCAGAAAAGAATTACAGAGGTGAGAAGTATGAGAAGAAATACTATTAGGAATTAATTATATATTAGAAATACGATTAGAAATACTATTAGGAATTAATTAAATATTAAAAATATTATTAGAAATACTATTAGAAATTAACTAAATATTAAAAATACTGTTAGAAATACTATTAAAAATTAATTAAATATTAAAAATATTATTAGAATAGAAACTCACAATTACATCTATTTCAATAGTAAAACAGTGAGACCTACTTGCCAATCTAGTAGTACACTTAAATTCATGCAGTCAAGGCACCAAGGAGGAAAGCCCATTTCAATTGTCATGTCGTTCAAATTTTTATAAGAAGTATTCACTCTATGAGGCAAGGTAAATATATCTCACTGCCATCATTCAGTTTTGTTTTGAAGCATGTAAAAGTGTTTTCCAATCTATCTCATGATTTCACAGTCAGTCATTTCTGGCCCTTTCCCTTCAGGTCAGTTCAAACATTTCTGCAATGTCAATATTTACAATGTTGTCTACATGAATAGTTACATTTTTTTTTCCACATAGATTATGGATTCTCACCATTCAAATAATTTGTTTTGTCGACAGCAACATATTCATATCAGAAAACACATATGTTTTCATTTGTGTCGACATGAATTCTGATCTGTAATAAATAAAGTGAATAATTTACTTTACATCCTGATTAATTTAAAGGTTAAACATAAAGTTTTGTGGGGCATAAAAAAGATTTTGTAACTTTTATTTGCATAAATAGCTTAGGTGATGACCTTTTGTTTTTTTTTTTAATCTATCAGCTACCTCTGTTTGTAGTATTGCATTAATCCACACAGATCTTATAATAAAATAAAAAAAACTCTGCCAATCTTAAAACTGCCTTTTGGTATATGCTATGCGAGATCCTTTGATATTTGGAGTCTCTCAAAACTCGGAAAGAGAAAATGAAATAATGTTAATGGTTTGGTTGTTTAAATGTGAATTACTGGCTTTTTAACAGAACACGGTTTGGTAAATACTAATCCTATCATGGTTTTCATGAAGGAACATTAATGAGGTTTGGTCATCTTTGTTTTGAATGGAGGTAGGCCTTTAAATCAGGAAGGTGACTGTGAGAAAAGTTTTATAGACTAAAAATAATTCACATCATTTTGTGGTGCAAATGATTTTGGTGATGGCAGGCCTTTTTCATCTCCACTTTGCAACAGGCCAGATCATAACACATTTTCTGCAGATGACAAGTATTTCTCTCATTGTATTTCTATGGCTCAACTGCATCAGGCATCAGGGAAAATGTCTGTCACTGGGTTAATTAGTGAGGGTCATTTTGTGAAGAATTTCTTAATTATGATTAGTCAATTCTTTGCTTACTGTAAGATTCTTACTCATAACTAACTGTTTATGATAGCACAAGTAGGATGCATTACTTAAAACTTTTTTTGGATCAATAAAAATCCAACAGAGATCAGCTGCCCTCTGTTGACTTGTAACTAAGTCAAACAGATCATGATGTTTTTTTTAATTGATTTCACCCCAAATAGGGCAGTAAAGCCACTAAGACACAAGGGGTTACAGGGTGTGGAAGAATTAGGAACAGCAATATTACTAGTGAGTGGAAAGAGAACAGAGTAAGCAGGAGGACAGTAGATAGCGAATGACATTGCACTTAAATTTTTGCAGATTAAAGTTGGCTGGAAAGCATGGAGTCAGAAGCCAGTTCTTCAAGTGAGAAGTGTGAAAAAAGAAACTATTAGCATAGAATTTATAGCTACATCTAGCAAGCTCAACTATAAATTGATGATATCTTGATGCCAGTTTAGTACCACACTTAAATTCATAAAGTCTAGGTACCATAGTGTAGAGCTCATCCAAATAATTACCATGAAAGTATTTATAGAAAAGACACAGGGAGACACCAGATCAGGACTGATAATATTGCTGATTCTTCTTTGGATTTTATCAAGGAGCTCAAAGTAAATAGCAGGGGCACTCGACCATATGTGGCAGCAATATTTTAAGCATGGAGCAATGGCAGACCTATGATAGATTCTGGAGAGAAAAATTGTCTCACACAACACAGTGAACCAACTTTCTTAGCAGCTGGTCTAGCAATGGATTCAAGTCTTTTCATATCATACCAACTGAGAAAGTGAAAAAAAATTAAATACTTTCAATAAAATTTCCATTTAATTATGAATTA